TTTTTTTTTTTTTTTTTTTTTTACGTGCTGTAAACCCACATTTTGAGATCCTCCCAAAAAATGTTTACTTAAAAAATTAACGTTTAAAAATTTTGTTCTTCCGTCGCATGAACAGGCAAATACTTCTACAAGTATATATTTCCCACTTCACAAAAAGTTAAATTTTTTTTGTACATTTTCAACGCAAGATCTGTTGATAAAAAAATATATAAGTAGGTTCCATCGGTTCGCATGTCCAATTAACAAAAAGGGCTGTGTGAACATAATGTAAACGAAAAGAAAATCTGGTGTCACTCACAGTGTTCGTTCACCAAGCGTCCAAGCACAAAATATAGGCAAATGGGCATATTGACACGGGGGAAACAACACCCCTGGTGATACAGAAGAACCCGGCGTAGTTGGTTTCATTTCAAGTGGAGTAAACTGCCAAACGGTTGAAATGAAAAAAGAAAGAGATAAGAATTCCCTCACCGTTTATGCAAATTTGTGATGCTTATGTTATAATGGGAAGTTTCCTCTGTGAAAGTATACCTTCCAGGGGGGAGAACAAGGCGTTGTCACAACAACACAGAAATGACCTTGCTCCTTTCGAATAAGTACAACTTAAGCTGTACGATATATTGCAATCGCGCAATAGGGTTACCCAATAAGTGTATTATGCTACCGTCCATGCATTTTGTTGAATTATTTTATTTTTTTTTGGGGGTGCGAGAGGGGAAGCCTCACGTTCGTACAAGGAGCTAAAAAAGAAGTGTTGACAACAGACACATAAAACCCGACTACAGTAATAAAGGAAAATTCCCCGAAACGCTCCCGAACGGGATAGCAGCTTTTACCATCCCATTTGAGCACCTCACAGGGTAACACGAAAAAGACAGTTTCTACGATGTACGTAATTTTTTCCAATTGTGGGATTTGCAACTTTGGTAACATAACGCCTTATGTTTCCGTTTCCTTTTCCGTCCCCTTTTCCGTTCCCTTTTTTCCTTCCATTTGGGGCTCAATGGAATGCTTTTCTATGACGAATCAAAAAGGTGTGCTTCTTCTTCCCCGTTGAAATAGGCGACATGTCTGCTTTACATGAGCGACACGCCAATTGTATAGCCACACCGATGATTTGCCCTTATTATGTGCACAAGTCGCATGCAACTAATTTTGAATGGACCGTTCATTTGGCAGGAGAGAATAAACAGGAGTGATGCAAAAGTATGGACACTGGTCATGGTTTGTTGTGATGACCCCTTTTTGGTGTCATGCTTTCGGTGCGAAACCCCTGTGTGTACAACTTCCCCAACATATGTGTTACGATAATAATGCATAATATTAAAAAATAGATGGCGGGAACAACTTCATGGACAGGGCGACCTCACGGTGTGACAGCAAATAAATGTCAAATGAACATGGCCGACGTTTTAATCCTCCTTCGTAATGGCTAAATGCTTGAAATAGAATTTTTTTTTTTTTTTCACCTTTTTGTAAAGGGCTCCTGCAACCATACAACCATGTATCCACGTGTGCAGCAAAAGCAACAAACAGTGCTGTCTTAAAAATGGGCTAACGTGTGAAAGGCCAAATTGAAAAAAAAGGCGATGCGGGCGGAATGACGTGGTTTTGTATTTGCGTACTTTTTGATAGAAGAAATAGCCTTTCAGAATTCAAAGGGATAAAGAAAAAAGAAGCACAATAAACCATGGTTTGAAATGACCCGTCGAAAGAAAAAACCAGTGCGTGTACATACATCCGCACGCGTGCCTATTGCATTCCCATGTGAACGATGCCGTGTCTGCATTTACGCGCCAAGCAGCTCATGCAAAATGCCAGCCCGCACACACGTACAACTG